TCTTTCATTGTTTTTGTTCAGACATTCCTCTAGGTCGTATAGCCCTGGTGTACAAGTTGCCTTACCAAGGTCACTGGTGGTTGCTGTGAGGCTGAACACTGTGACACTAATGTGTCAAATGCATTAATGGTTGGCTACCTAATGTGGACAAAGAGTGGGGTGGAGTTCCCCGTTTAAAACAAGTGTGGAAGAAGGAGTGGCATCCACTTCCATAATAGCTTGCCTCTGGAAACCCTATAAACCTGGAGAGAGGATGAATGACACCCAGGCGTTGAGGACTCTCCTTTATAGGGTCCCTATGAGTTGCCTGTGACTCGACAGCACTTAAGAACAACAATGAGGTAATGGCTACATTTTAAAAATAAGTCCTAAGAGGTTGCAGCACAATCAGCAAAGAGGGAAGAAAATGAGAGGTATTTTTCGACTTTGTTTCAAGGTGACAGGGTGGTGTTGTTGTTAGGTGCCATCGAGTCGTGGATGACTCATAGTGACCCTATGAATGAAAGGCCTGAGCACTGTTCGTACAGTTTCCAGAGGCAACCCATTTCGGAAGTGGATGCCACTCCTGCTTCCAGGCTTGTTTTAATCGGGAAGCTCCACCAAACACTGTCCACCATGGGTGACCATTGTCGCATTTGACACATCAGGGTCACAGTGTTCAGCATCACAGCAACCACGAGTTACCTCTGTACAGCAATGCACAGACCAGTGCTACACCACCTCGAAGAATGTCTGACGAAAAAAAAATTCTGAATCCCTTTTCCCATTCTTAGTTCAGTATTTATAAAGAGTTGTATATTCTAAAAAGTTTTCTCCTTTTTCTTTTTACACAAGAACTTATGTTTATTGCAAACAATAAAAAATGAGAGAGAAACAGAAAGGAAAGACAGAAATGGTCAGAAGCCCAAATGTAAGGTTAAGAATTTTAAAAGCAAAAAAAAAAAAAAAGAATTTAAAAGCATCTTACGTTCTGCCCTAATGGCAGCATAATTAATAGGAACAAAGAGCTGTCTTGCTGCCTGCCGCAGCCGGAGGGTACTTTTGCAGACCTGATGAGCAAATTTTGTGAAATATGTGGTGTGAAGGAAGAAAGCTTGGCGGGTCTTCACTGCTGACTTTGGACTCCCATGTACTGCACCGGCATCCCCTGTGTGGCCTGGCGGGACATATGACTCTAACACGGGCATCCTCTGCAGTTGGGCTGGGAGACAATTTCTCTTCTTCTGACTGGGTAGGCATTTTCAGGCCTCCATATTTTTTCCAATATAGCGAACAAGTTGCACATAATCTACACTGCATATTAGGTGGACTCCAAGAATACCACTGGTGAGACTGTGTAGCGAAGCAGCTCCTTTTTCATAGTGTGGACTGACAATAAGCGGGGAAGAGATGGCTGATTGTACATGTGGAAGGGTCAAGTTCAAGGTAAGGAGAGGCAACGTGCCAGCTTACAGTGCATGAGGGAACTTTGTTATTTTGCTTTCCTCCCTATTCAAATAGAGATTATTTACTTTGGTTATAACTGTGAGGAAAAACAAAATAATAAGATGAAACTGTTCCTCTCTGAGTAAAAACCAATACTTGGACGGTTATTGAGATAATTAATGATGTCATACACCCATTCCCCCTGTTTCTTTATCATTATTCTTTGTTGGAGCAGCATCTTTTAACTAGCAATCTGGAGCAATTAAAAAAACTGAAGAAATCCAGAAACATAGAAAGATCAGACATACAGATTTCGAAAGTTAAGAAAACCTAATAGTTAAATCAATGCGGACCTCAAATTACAAATAAAAAAATACTTGTTAACATCCATATTATCTTCCACTGCTTATAATAACAGCTGATAGAATTCACCCCATTTCTCTCTCTATGTAACTTTACAGGATAACTTACGTCCTTTAAGTGAATATTATCGAGGTCACAGTTACTATGCACTGTTTCCACCAACCACCCTTCGGGAGTAATCATGTTCAGGGTTAGAAGGGGTGTCTCGGGGATATCCAGAAATCTTGCCGCTGGTCCAAGGGAATTAATGCCACCAGTCCCTCGCATCAGTTCTGGCTCCAAAACAAAGCGATAAAAGCTGTTGATGAAACATAAACAAAAAGTATTATGACAAAAATGAAGATTACAATTTCTTCTTAAATATTTCAAAATTGACTATTCTTAAAAGCATAATCAGACACAGATTAAAAGGTTAAAAGCACTCTGCAACATAAAAGAGCTAATGCTTAGAGTTGGTAGAGAAGTATTCTGCTGATATTGATTTTTAAAAACTTTTTAAATTTTTATTTTATTATTTTGTGTATGTGTACCGTCAAATTGGATCTGACTGGTACAGGAGGAGACTGCTCTGCTGGATTCAAATTGTGTACCTCTTGTAGCGCAGCTTCTTGCTACTAGACCGCCAGAGCTCCCTCTGCTGATACTGAGATTATATGTATTATACATTCTTACAAATACCATCATAATAAACATAATTAAAATCCCTTTTAAGTATGCTGATGTATACAGACTCTAGAAATTTAACCTATATATCATCTGTATTCATTCACTGGTCTTTTCCAAATTTAAACATAGTCCTTTCTGCAGCCAATTTAAATAGTTCTTAGTATCACCAATAATATGAAGAGAAAGCAAGCAGAATGGACTGAACTTTCTGAAGAACAAACAACTTTCTACAACAGTAACACCATTTAAAAATACCATGAGCAACGGATGAAGACTTGCGTTTTTCTACATCCCTCTAGTACTGGTTATTTTCTGTTTGTGACATTATTGCTCTGATTGTTCTGAGCCATCAATCAAGATGGACCCACAGGGGATCTTCGAGCGGGTTTTCGGACAGTCAATCAGATGGCAGGAGACTGTCCATCCTTCTACCACAGAGCAGCTAGTGGATTCAAACCGTGTGCCTTTGGGACTGCAGTGCAGCTTTTTACCGGAGTCTCTCTAGGGATCTGGAAACCTCATTGATCGTGTCTTTCAGTTCCTGTATTTCTGTCCATATTCTTTGTAAATAACTTTGAGTTCCTTACTGGCATCGTTGCTTCTTCTTGCTCTGCTTTCCTGATTTTATTTCGTTAATTACCTACACGCTCCTTTAGTTTTTAAATATTACTTAAAATAGTGTCTTGATATTTAACAGGGACCCTGGTGTTCTGATAAGATATTCCTGCCAACCAGAAAGTATGTGGTTCGAATCCACCAGCTGCTGCCTGTGATAATAATGGGGAACTTCCTTCCGTGTAATTGACTACTTCTGAAAACCTGCAGATGGGTCATCTATATGTTGGTCCTGACCTGATGGCACAAAACACCAATTTAGAAATCGTGAATAATTAATGCCTTTTTCTAAGCATCTTACATTTTCAATCACTTTTGAATGTGCCGTGAGGTAAGGTGCCCGCTGCATTCTTTACCAGATGGCTACCTGAATGCCAAGCCCCAGCACAATCTGTTGACACAGTTACTCTTCTCATTGAATGACCCTGAGATCTGTCATAGGTTGGACTTTTCAGTGGTTAATGATTTACTAGATATGATACCAAACTACAAAGAAAAAAATAGAGATACACAACTTCGTTAAAAAAACACTTGTGTTTTATCAAGCAGAGCTCGTGTGTGTCAGTGGGTGAGGAGCTCACTGCCAACATAAAAGCAGGAAGTTCAAATCCACCAGCTGCTCCACGGGAGAGAGACAGTGTCCTTCCCCGGGAATGTTTCTTTTCTTCATGTGTGAGCATCCTCCGTACCAGGAAGACTCTGACTTGCCTCAGTAAAAGCTTAAAGCAAGGTTGTGTCATCTGTTTACCTCAGTTTGCTAATAAACCTTCCTTTAACCTTGATGTCTGTTTCTCCACGTAGACCAAATTCCTGGATTATCTGTTCAGCATACCAATAAAGGCTTCAAATCCATCACACACCTTTTAAAGGCACTCCTGTGCTGTCTGAATGACTGCATCTTGATTCACGCATGGCTTCTGCATGAGCACAACTAGGTGTTTTGGAATTCCCATTCTTTATGATGTTATTTATAATTGGTTGTAAGCCACGGAATAAAATGAGTTTTGCATAGTTAGTTTCTTGTCATAGATAAAAGCTTCCAGTGTCCAATTCATTTGTAGAAACATACCCACTGGCATATCATCAATACCTGAAGTCCAGTTCTTGCCAGCACTCCCAGCACCGTTTGAACATCTTTCGTGAGGTCCACGGGTCCTGATCATAAGCTACTTCCTACAATGGCTACCTGGAGACCAGCTATTTTGCTACAACGACTTTGTACCTATCCTCCTCTTCTTTTGATGGTCTGTGTTGTTAAACTTTTTTTGCCCACAGAAAATTTCAGTAATCCGACTTGACGCAGAAGATTTCCGTAATCCGACTTGAGGCTTGACTTTTCAGTTCTTTCAATTTAAGAAACACTGGTCACCTCCCCTTTTGATTTCTAACTCTAAGCCTTTGCACATTTTCCCAGAGTAACTGTTCTCTCCAGAGGGCATCTGGAATCTCCTTCAGTGGTTTTAATTCACTGTGTCTCCCACTCACTTTAGTTACTTTGTACTTAACAGCAGATTTCAAGCCTCTCTGACATTCCCTTCCATCCTCTCGCCTCTCTTCTTAACAGCTTTTTCACTGTCTTTATTTAGATGTCCTTGATGCCATTCAGCCACTCTTCAATCTTTGCCTATCAGTGTTCCACATGTCAAACCTATTCCAGAGATGGTCTCTAAATTCAAGTGGATGTATTCAAAGTCGTCTTCGGTTCTCACAGAATTAGCTTTGCTTGATTAAGTATTTATTTACCATGCTTCAAATAGCTATTCAAACAATATTCCATGTTTAACAATCATAACACATACAGTTCAGGAAGTATAAAGGATAAATAAAACACTACTTTTCTATTTGTTTCGTTTGTGTATGTATTTTTGATTTGATACATACTTAAATCAAACAGAGAAAACCAAGTAGATAAAATTCACTGTTTTGCACTAGTCCAATGCTTCATAACCTTTTTTCCTATTTTGTCACATCTGATAATGTGAATTCCTATCATAAAAAACGGCTGAAAATGATAATGACTCTAATCTAGAAGGAAAAAACGATTTTTGTCTACATGTGAGAAATATTATTGTTTCAACAGTGAGACAGTATTAACGAGGAGTAATTCTGTATCGCTGTTGTTAGATGGTTGAGTCTAGTACAACCCATAGCGACCCTATGAACAGAAGATTTGGACCCTGTCCTATCCTGTGCAGTCCTCACAATGACACATCTGAGGCCACTGCTGCGGTCACTGTGTCAGTCGGCCTGGTTGAGGGTCTTCCTGTCTTTCACTGTCTCCCCATATTTCCAAGCTTGATGCCCTTTTCTAAAGAACAGCCTCTCCTAATATGTATATATTGTGATGAATATTTTATAAATCATTGACATATTATTATAAATTAACTACATTCCAGGTTCACTAAATGGTAAAAGTGATAATAAAGATTATTTTTGTAACTCAGCTCTAAAAAGTACTCAAGGTATCAAAAGGGAAAGTTATTGCTGTAAAGTTGGAACCAACTCTTAGCTGACCCTCCAACAGGCTTTGAGAGACTGTACACGGAACGGCAGGAGACTGCCCATCTTTCTCCCATGGAAAATTGTGAACTGGAACCACGAGAGAGGTGCCAGCCTGGGGTTTATAGTACAGCTCCTAGGGATCATACAAATGGTTCAGTTCAGTTGTAATTCACACTTATATAAAAACATGTGAAATAGCTTTGTACAAATAGAAATCAACACTAATTTAGACTGGATTAATTTACTATAATCAGGATGGGTATATCAGAGACAGTGCGACTGGCACAGGACAGAGCAGAGTTTAGGTCTGTTGTACAAAGGGTCGCTGTGAGTTGCAAGTGACTCGACGGCACACAACAACAACAACAACAACAACAACAACAACAAGGTTAATTTAATTTTTATATCCATTATGATAATTAAATTCTCTTAGGCCTTTAAAAATCATGCCTTCTTCCCCCCCCCTTTTTCTTAGTATTTGCAAATCTTAAAATGTATAAATGTACAACAATGAATGAATGAAAATCCAAGTTCTCTATAATCTTTCATTAAAATCTCAAAATAAAAAGTTTTTTTAAAAAAACACCCCTCCACCCCCCACAAAAAAAAGTTACCTCTTTAAAGGGGCTTCTGAAAGCTTCCCCCTACAGTTCATGAACAACTTGACCTTCATGTTGATTATTTTGTCAAGTACCTGTAAAAACAAAACAAATCTGAATTTGTTGGTAATAATAATAGCAAACATATTTCGAGCATTTTCTACGTATCAGGCCTGCATAAAGAGTCAATGATTTTATTTGATTCTCATAATAGCAATTAGACATAGGTACTGTTAGAGCTGAAATAAAGAGACTGGTTAATTTGACTGAGTACACAGTAAACCATGACACAGTTAGTATTAAAATTAGTCAACTGATTTCAAAGCCACAGATGACACTGCCTACTTCTCCATAAGGTGTGTTCCTCAGGACATTTAGGTTTCCTTACTGAAGGACAGGTGAAATAATTACTTACACCAGGATCAGCAACTACGAACTGGTGATTGTACACCACCACCACCACCAAGATCCTTCTAGAGTTTCATGATAAATTTTAAGAGGTATAAAAAATTACATTAAGGTGAACTAAGTTATTTCTGTACTTTTTAATACTGTTGGATTTTCAAATCTATCTCTAAATATAACAGGTAATAAATAAGTCATTCATAATTTCAAAAAGTAACAGGGAACAGAGAAAATAGGTTAATAGGAGATTTAAAAAATCCAAATATACTCAACAGAATGAAGACTAGCATTAAGAATTAAAACACCACCACAAGATAAAGGTAAATAATCCAATAGAAAAATGGGCACAGGATATGAACAGGCACTTCACCGAAGATGACATCCAGATGGCTAACAAGCACATGAAGAAATG